GCACCCTTGCACAACGCCGGCTTGGATCGGTCAAAAATCAAAAAAACTCATTTCCCCACCATACTTTGAAACACAAAAGTTTAGAAGTACTTTTAAGAGTATTTCTGCGTGCCAGACCATGTCGAAAACTTGTCTCTAAAAAGCACCCGGGCGTCAGCGACTCTGAACCTTTGCGGATCGTGGAATGATGAGTACGGAAACCGAATTGATGAAAAGGTGTGATTTTATGTAAATCCAAGATAAGCATTAGGAGTTTTAAAAAAAGTCGAAAGATTTTGGACATTACTGTGACGTTTTGGACATTACTGTAGGAGGATATGCGGCTAAGAAGTTTGAGTGGTTTAATATGAGAGTAAGTAGAGAATATTTTCGTACCGCTACTGGGTCCGTCATCACTCAAGTGTTTTTGAATTGCTCAAACGCGTTTCTGCAATGCCCCCATCTTCAATAAAAAACTGTCTCACGGTTGTCAACAGATAATTCCTCACTGAAGATGCCGCAATGCCGAAATGTGTTTTCAAAATTCGAAAACCTGTGAGATGAGACGGACCCAGTGAGTAACCCAGTACCAGTTCAACATGCGTTCGCCGATTCGCAAAACAAATTATGAACACTGATAAATTAAAAATAATATTCTTTTATAATACAATATTTCAGTACTAAACAGGTATATATGACAAACGATTTTTATTTTTTACACTTCAATCGAAAAGACTATTGTTTTGAAGTATTAACAATTAAAAACGTAATCAATCTTTCATTTTATTTGTATTAGTCTTCTATTCAGTGGTTTCAGGCAAGCCTTTCGAGGGTTTGCTCCAACACTCTAAATGGAATCTAACGAGATTAAACATTCCTACAATACATGAAATTATACAGTCCTAAATCATAGCAAGCGTGCGGATAGATGATGTTCCAAGCTTTCATCACTGAGTGACGAGTTTTTGATATATGTCACGTTGAAACGGAGAGAGAGGGGGGTTATGATTATAAGCACAGTTATAAATAATATTGGGTTGACATGCAGGTCATTAGCGTTGCTTTACTTCCACTAAGCCTTTCCGATATTAGAATTACAATGTTCATCTCGGCTCATTAACAAAGAACAGTGGTGTAAATAGAACGGTGGAAATTTGTAGAGCCAACAAACGCATTACCCCTTGAATGGACCCTGAGAGCGACACCTATAAAGCCTCTTGGGCCGTTATAATTACGCCTGATTAATTACTCTCGGCGAGATGTAATCTCGAGCATTCTGCTCACGGGACCTTTATAACCCAGTGTTTATTATTTTTGGCCCAGGCGCATTTTTCAGGACTAACAATACTAAGTAAAATGAAAAATATTTACTAAAAAAGACAAAAACAGAAAAGGAATCGGAGGAAATCAAAGCGAAGAAAAGAATGTCGGATGGGAAGACAGTTTGGAATTTCAATAAGGAGATTGCGGTGTCGGAGGGGCAAAACTCGATCTTCCGGCTTTTGTTCCTTCTAGGACGAAATGCCGATTCGGTTAGATTTCATTACGCTTTCTGCAGAAAGCATGAGTCAATTTTTTATTTCATTTTTACCCTCACACGAAATATCTTCATTCATACGTATGCAGATGCGATGATTTTCGAAAAAAAGCCAATGAGCTTTATTTTTCCTATATAAAAACAAATTATAGAGTTTTAAATAAATAATACAATTTTATTACTAAATCTTATTAATTTAAGATTGATATTTTCACTTTGACTAAAAATGATATTAACACTTTTACCCTACTTTCTATTTATCTCTATCCATTATCCATATTTCTATTTTTCTGTATATCCTTTTATGTACTTTTATGTATGTATATATATANAGTCTTTTAGGTTTTTCAAAATTTTATATTTATTTTTTTCCTATATATTCTACATATCTACCTACTACTCTTTTGCTCCCACTCTCTCTCTCTCTCTCTCTCTCTCTCTCTCTCTCTCTCTCTCTTTCTCTCTCTTTCTATCTATCTATCTATCTATCTATCTATCTATCTATCTCAATATCTATCTATCTATTATAACATTCCATTTGTTTTTCTCTTTTTCTCTTTGTCTTTTTATATCTCTTTCTGCTTTTAAAAATCTCTTTTCCCATTTGATAGGTATTGTTTTTAATGGATTTTATTTATATAAATTTTCTTCATATGAGTTTTTAATTTTTTTCAAAACCATCAACCGTGGTTAAAGAGTAAGAGAGGAAAAGTTAGTTCCTTCTCGGTACAAGGTTACCCTCCGGAAAACCTCCGAGGTTTATATTAAACAGTCTACTTCCGAACTGCGCCTACATAATGAAGAGATAATTACAGCTAAGTAGAAGGAAAAAAGTTCGGAGCTCTCTTCTTCCAACTTTTTCCCAACTCAGCTGTCTTCTTGGAAGGGTGAGGAGGAGAGAAAAAAGAGAGTTGGTTTCTTTATCCATTACGCTCCCACTCAGCAATTATTCCCGGCGTTGCATTAACTCAGCACGGCTCCTTCCACAGTCCGTTTACCAACTTTCCCTCTTTGTCGCCACTTTTCCTCGCCACTCTAATTTTTAGTGATTTAAGTTGAGGCCGGAGTTGAATTATTTCGGGACGAGGCCAATCCGTTAATAATCCCTGTTTTAATGGTCTCCGATCTTTCAGGAAGGCAACATCAACATCATTGTAAGAAAAACTCGACTTTCCTTCCATCAGAACATTAGAGTTGTTGAACAAAGTTACAACAATATGAAAAGGAAATTCCACAATTGGTTCACCTTATAAAAAGGAACAGAAAAAAAACTCCAATCTACTTTATCACAGAAAAAAACATTATTTTAACACTTTGTAATGTCCTTACAGAACATTTTTTTATAACGCCTTATTCCAATTAAATTGAAACATTTTTGGTCATAAACAATCAGCAAAAATAGGCAACTTAATTTCCCGAAAAATTAATCATTTCATCGGCGAACATGTAGATTTAATTTTAACGTGAAATAAATTTTACAAAAATTCTACATATAAAACAAATCTTTGTACTCATCACATGTATTATTACTATTTAGATGTTATTATTTTTGTTTTAGCGAAAATATAAAATCTTAATGTTATTTACGTGAAAAATATTTTCAGTAATGATTGTGTTTTAATACAGCCTAATTTAGAAAAATATAATCTGTTTAAAATCCGTGTATAACTTAGCTCAGTCTAGACTTACATAAGCATTATAATTTTAAGTAATTAATCGTTATTGATACGTTCAGTTATGTTAATAGTAATAATTGAAATTGATAATTTATATATATTAAAGTTAATAATAAAAAATATATTTAAGATATTTACATTACATCGATATTTTATAATATTCATTGTATTGATATTAGAAAATATCAATAATTTTTACCAAAAAATTGTTATTATAAAAGTGGTCAAAAAGATGCCAGGTTACCATTGTAATATAGAATAGGCGGTGTATCTCATCCACTCTACCAAGCTAATCTCATAAATTCATTATAGTTGAAGATATAATTTTTAATATTGAAAATACATGTTTGTATTTGGTAACCGTGTAAAACATTAGAAATAGTTTCAAAGTCCTGATGAAGGGGTTTTATATTCGTCAAAAGCTGGTAAAAACCTGAGTGTTACCTTTCTTTCAAAATTTTCTTATCCCTGATTTTTTATATACGATTATAACTATATTAGTCTTTTCTTCGTTATTGGTCTTCTTAGGATGCAAATTTCTTTTGTATATGCCTTATTATTTGAATGTTTTCTTTTTAAATAAAAATCCTGATTATGCGACGTTTCGGCCATCCAGAGCCATTTTTAAGTCACAGGGAAACCTTAGGAAAAGACAGTGACACGAGCGGGATTCGAACCCACGACCTTCGGCTAAACACGCGGCTGCTCTAACCACTTGAGCTATCGTGGCCACGAACCACTCGGACGCTAACTTCCCACCTCAACCAAACCTTTCGAATTTTCCCTCCTTTTTGCCATTTTTCAAATGTCATGTAATCTATTTGATTCTCGGCGACAAATGAAATGGCCACGGAGAGCTTTAGTGAAGTATACTTCATTTTGCTTATTAAATTCATTAGGGTTCGTGGTCCGATTGTTAAGTTACTTGTTTCACTTAACCAAATAAATTCTTTTCAATTAATTAAGGTTTTGGTTGAGAAAAAAAGTTAATGGCACGAGCGGGATTCGAACTCACGACCTTCGGCTAGATACGCCGCTGCTCTACCACTTGAGCTATCGTGACCTCGATCCACTCGGACATCAACTTCCCATCTAAACCCCACCTTATGAGTTTTCCCTCCTTTTTGCCATTTTTCAAATGTCGTGTAATCGGTTTGGATTCTCGACGACAATTGAAATGGCCACGGAGAGCTTTAGTAAAGATAATCTTCATTTTGCTTATTAAATCCATTAGAATTCACAAGGTGGGTTGTGGTGGGAAGTTGGTGTCCGAGTGGATTACGTCACGATATTGGCGATAGCTCAAGTGGTAGAGCAGCGGCGTATTTAGCAGAAGATCGTGGGTTCGAATCCCGCTCGTGCCATTAACTTTTTTTCATCTCAGCTAAAAGCCTTAATTAATTGTAATGATTTAATTGGTCAAGCGGACCACGAAAATAGTGAATTTAATTTTTTGCAATGTTAAAATTAAGAAATAAAGTATATGACTTGAAAATGGCACAGAGTCTGCGAAACGTCGCAAAATAGTGATTCCTTTAAACTCCTTCAAACAATAAAGCCTACAAAAATTTAATTTTGTTACATATTAATTTAATTAATAATTAAAATTAAATATACAAAATTCCCCAAAGTTGGACTAAAATAACTTACAATAAATACATTGATTACAATTTCTTCTGTACCAAACTTTAATTTTAATTTATGAAATTTTATATTAATATACAAAAATGTATGTAAATAAAGANTATATATAAATTTGTGTGTTCTTTAATTTGATTGGTTTTTATTTTTATATATCTTTGTTTCAGTTCATCCTCTGATCCAAGTGCCAAATCAGTTGGTAGGAGCACCCCCCGGGACAAACGTCACACTCCAATGTTTGGTGGAGGCGTCACCAAAAGCAATCAATTACTGGACAAGGCAATCCGGTGAGTGAGCTTCGATTGTATGTTTTAGTGAAATTATATATCGCAGAAATAGAGACGGTCAATACGATGCGGGTGTAATAACGTGGACTTAATTCGAACCGGTGCTTTGGGAATAGTTTACGCTGGGTCCCTTGGGGATACGGAAAGGGGCTATATCAACCTTTAATATGCCTTAGAATCCAAGCTTATCTCTCGCAAGAGCCCCGATAAATTCAGCGGACCACCGTAGGCAGATTGAGGCTGTTTGGGGGAACCTTAGTCGCTAAGAACAACTCCTTCCCGAAATAAACCGTTTGTGTGAGAGGTTTTACTTCCCAGGCCTTTTTTCGACGTTGGGCGAAATCCAGGACGGCTCACCCGTGACAATATCTTTTGAACTAATCGGACGTGGATGAACGTCGGAATAGGAGAGTTGGCCGGTTTGCCAGCTCGGAACAAACTGCTAATTTCTGCCCCGTCACATTCTTGACTGCCGTTTCGTCCAGATAAGAAGGAAAACCGATATTTGCTCGAACGTGAAATATCTGTTTAGAAAGTGAGTTTCAATAAATCTCTGAGAGGAAAGTAACTATAACATTATCCCCGTTGTTTAAAAGTGCCAAGGAAAAAATGTTCGAACTTGCTTATTTTCTAATTCTTTTTCAGTTAAACTTTACGAACGTCGTGCCATGAAAAACCTGGGCCTGACAATATTTTACATTAACAAACTGAAAAAGAAAGTACATTTTGGCTTTTACTGAAAAATTACGTAGGTATCTAAATGTTTCCTTTTGTTTTAAATAAAAACTTAACTTATCCCTGTACTTATATTTTTTTAATATTCTGTTATAAAGGAAAATAATAAAGCTGCCATCACCATGCTCTTTCCTTTTTCTGTTTTATCTCGGTTAATCAAGCAGAAACTTTATTTTTTTATCTTTAAATGAAAGATACTTTTAAAGGACCTTACTAAATTTCTTAATTAAATATATGAATTATAGACTGTTTTAATGTGAAATGTATTTTTTGGGGATTGATGTATATAATATTATAGATTATTGTTTTTGTTTTTTTGTTGTTTTTTTACGAGGGTTCGCAACAGCAAAGGTTGTTGCGAGTGTCGATGTTTTTGAAAGTAGTCCATTTGTAAGTATGTCGGGTTCGAATGCAGGGCCACTGGATTCGAACCCGGGACCTTTACCTTACAGTGATGAGCGCCGTGTCAACGCCTAAACCGTTACGGACACCAACACCCCTATTGATTATTGTTATCGTTAATATAAACAATTAAGTGAGAAAATCATCTCATTACATATCCATGGATTTATCTGTTGAATCTTCAACACAAACCATAGAAACTTCAAATTTTCTTAATAAATCCCTCTGTTTCTAAATATTTTTTCAAGTGCAGACTGCGTTACTATCTGCTTATGTCTATATTCATCTATGATCAAACCGTCGGGTGAATCCGCTAGAACAAAATGATTCTTTTATTTTCCAGTATAGATTTATGAAGGAAAAATTTAAATAATTCAAAAAGATCTGTTTTTAATTATCCCTATAATTATTCTTTATTCGTGATAGACTAACAATATGTATACTTATACGATATAGTTAAGATGAACTATGTGAATTGAAAAATTTTCTCTCCCGTTCTCTCCCTCCTCTTTCACACTCTCTATCTTTCTCTCCTCTCTCTCTCTCTCTCTCTCTCTCTCTCTCTCTCTCTCTCTCTCTCTCTCTCTCTCTCTCTCTTTTTACAACATTGTTGAAATCGTGGATATGATTCACCCGCAAGACCCTTATTACTCTCCACTATATCATCAAATGAATTTACGCATTTCTGTCTCGCACTTCCTCCAGATATTAATCTGGTAAAGTTAATCATTAAATTTTAAATTAATAACACCATAATAACGACCAGTCTGTGGTCTGTCTTCTCTGGAGGTTTCCCGAGTGAAATGTTCAGCTGGAAGTGGAAGCCAGCAAGACGTATCAGTTTTGAAGGAGGGGTATAATCTGCGCCGTGTATAAGGACGAAATTCGACTATAATTCTAGTCCGCTAATGGAGATTTTTAGGGATATTTAAGGGTGGAAAATAGATTTACACTCAAAGACAAAAACACCGGACACCGAACGTATTTTGTTTATTTTAAACTATATGTATTACATCGTTATATTAATTATAACATACTTCTTTTAATGGACTACATCAGAAATTCATGACTTTTAATAAAGACTATTTAATGATGGTTTGAAAGAAAGTTCACCAAAAAAACCAAAACAACTTTTAATGATATATTAAAATTTAATTAACAACTTTTTACCTAGTTTTGCTCTTAATGCGTTTTTAAGATATATATTCAATCGTTTTTTTGGAATAGTATTTTTTTAAAAATACTTTATTACAGATTTTATCCTGAAAATTTTTGTCATCTTTGTACACCGTTTCTCAAATTTTTCTTTAGTTCATTTTTTCAAGTCAATATAGTTAATAGTTCATTGTTTCATTGTTTATAGTTTATTGTTCTTTTTTTATAGCTCAATACGTTTGAAATACGGTAAAATACGGTCCAATGGTTTCTTTAATTTATTCAAAATTGTTCATTTATTAATTGTATATTTACTAGTATGGCTTAGTAATTCATTGAAAAATATTTATTTAATATAATTTGATGGTAAAGTTGATGGTAAACTATTTAAAATGGGAACTGAAAGAAATACTAAAAAATAAAATAAAAAATGAAATTCATAGTCATAAAAAAATTAATGCAAAAATTAGAAATTATGTTTTTCGTGTTTGGAATGGAGTTGAGGTAGTGATTGATAAACCCAGGCCGTGGTGCGCCTGTCCTAAAGGTCAAATTGATCTCATGGGCCGTTTGTTTTGAAGTCCAATTTTTCCGGGCAATTATCCCCTTCAGATAAGGCCGATAAAGCCGCGATTTCGTAATGGTCCAAGTTTTCATTCGTGTACGCAAGTCGATAAAAGAAAGTTGGCCCAAGACGCAGTGGCATGACTCCGATATTTCAGTAGACCGCCGGATTCCCCTTCAACTCCCCGTCCGTCAGCAGGAAATGAAGCAACGAGGGGTCACGCCACCGCAATTACCAAAATGCCGTAATTACGTCAGCCGGAGGTAGACTTGCCTTAAAGTAAACTCATTTAAAGAAACGGATATGGAGTTTAGATGAAGAACTGCAATAGTTTCCCACCATGAATACGTAAATGTAAATGTATAAATTTATGTACATATATATAGTATATAAGTAGCTCATATCCTTATTTAGATTGAATTTTTCAAATTCTAAAATAATTACTCACCCTTACATACTTGTTAATATAATTTACACACTATCACAGAGATACACACACACCCACTTTTCAATTCCTGATTCGCATCTAGCACTCTTCGAAGCCCTTAATTACTAATTTTTATAGCAAAAAAATATACATTTTTGGGCTGGGCCCAAATACTTTTACCCAATATCTGGTATTCCACTTTACTATTATTAACTCATCCGGATTTTATCTACATGCAACGTTGTTACAACGTTGTTGTTAAAGTCACGATAGCTCAAGTGGTTAGAGATGCGGCGTATTGAGCCACAAGTCGAATGGGTTCGAATCCGGTTCGTGACATTCATAATTTTTCATCTCAACCAAAAACATTAGATCAAAATAATTAATACGGTCAATTATGACACTAAGCAACTATTGGCGAATGAATTCTTTTAGCCGTTGATAAAAACTTTTTTTTTATTACAATCTGTAATTAGTATTTACAATATGTAATTTGCGGATACATGAACTTATGTACAACTATTTACATTGAGGGGAGAAAATAATCAATGTTATCCTCCCTCTTCGCTTTGTTTATGTTTTGTTTACAGTTTACTCGGAAAGGAGGTCGCGGGGCCATTTCCTCTTAAGACGTCTTATGGGGTTGTAGGGATGGGTTTTATCAGACAGGGCTTGGACTATTTGGATGGTGGGAGAGTTTTTTGTGAAACTTGGTAAATTTTTGGGGAATAAATTTTTGGATATACGGAATTCGAAGGTCGTTGTGGAGGGTAGCATTTGAGACATAATAAGAAGCATTTACAATGGATCTGAGGACTTTAGATTGAAAGGATTGGAGACGTTGGATATTGGAAGGTTTAGCTGTTCCCAACAGTTCTATTCCGTACGTCCAAATCGGATAAAAACTAGAGCTAAATTTTTGGAATATATATCATTACAGCCATGTGATGAAACATAACGTGTGAGGAAATTCACAAATACTCCAAAAACTTTTTATTTATTTCTCTTGTTATAATTTATTATAGAATTCTAAATCCTTCTAAAGTTTATTGCAGATAAGTGGAGTTATTTTAGTTTTACCAGTACAGCAGATTGAGCAATCAATCAATAAATAATGTTACGGCATGTGTGTCGTACATGGGTGACAGAGAGTGGGATATCTTAGAGAGAAAAACGGAGAGTCAATCATTCCTCAGGATTGCCTTTTCTTTCAAATCCGATATTGGGGCAATGAAAGAATAATACCAATCTTACAATTAATTAAGGTTTTCAGTTGAGATAAAAAAACCAATTGCACGAGCGGGAATCGAACCCACGATCTTCGGCTAGATACCGCTGCTCTACCAGCTATCGTGACCTCGATCCGCTCGGACACCAACTTCCCATCTCAACCCCACCTTTTGAATTTTCCCTACTTTTTGCCATTTTTCAAATGTCGTGTAATCGGATTGGATTCTCGACGACAAATGAAATGGCCACGGAGAGCATTAGTGAAGTTTACTTCATTTTAAATCATTAAATTCACTAATTTCGTGGTCCGCTTGACCAATTAATATCTTACAATTAATTAAGGTTTTTAGTAGAGATAAAAAAGTCAATGGCACGAGCGGGATTCGAACCCACGATCTTCGGCTAGATACGCCGCTGCTCTACCACTTGAGCTATCGTGGCCTCGATCCACGCGGACACTAACTTCCCATCTCGACCCCACCTTTC